CCAAAACAACATCAACAAGACTAAAAAGAAATGAAGGATCCATCGCAGAAACGCCGCCTGCTGTCCCTTCTCTCGTTCAAGAATTCCGCAGCACAGCGAGTTGTTTTCTTTCACGAAAGCCGTCCCCTCTCTCTTGATAATGGAGACTTTGGAAGAGGTGCCACCATATTTGATGCAAGTAGTCAGACATGCTCTCAATTTGATAAGGTTAGGGAAAAAACCAGGAGCTGACCACGTAACCGTTGGAATGTTGATGGTGGCATACCACATTCTTAGAACCATTAACGAAATTCTTCAATGACTTCCTTGTGAAAGAGGAGTTACCTGCAAGTTTATCGGAATCATCATTATCGCTTCTGTTCGAGGAAGGAGATCCTTTAGACAGACTTTCGAAGCTTTCGCCCTATCGCACTACTTCCGACGATCTACGAACTGTTTATTTCAATCATTGGGCAACAACATGAGAACATTCAACCTGTCGAACAAGCCGGCTTTTGTAGAAATTACCCCACCTTAGTTCACATTCACGTAATAGCTCATAGAGAAAAGTACAGAATACATCATCCCTCTCTATATTGTGTTCATCGACTTTTTCAAAGTATTTGATTCTTTGCATCATGAATCTATATGGAAATCGCAATTCTGCCAGAGAGTCCACCCGAAGATCATCCGTCTTCTCTCGAAGATCTACAAATCTGCCAAAGTGAATATCAGAATATGGGGCCATATGATACCCATGAAGATACAACGGGGGTCCGTCAGGGAGACCCTATTTCATCTGTGCCCTTGGCTGTTGCACCGAAAACTTTATTTCGGAATATCGACTGACGCGAGGAAGGGATCAACATGAGTGGGAAATATCTGAGTCACCTCAGATATGCAGACAATATAGTTGTTATAGCACACGACAGTTAAAAACTTCGAACAATATTAAAAGAGTTGATAAAAGTCAAACCGTCAGACTTAATATCAATATTTCAAAGACTACAATCATGGCGAACTCCGTGATCCGACCCGTTGCCATCGATCGACATAATGTGCAATACTCATCTATCTCGGTTTCCTTCGATATGAATAATAGCGTAGGAATACAAAGAAGAATTCGAGCAGGATAGGTATAGTTCTTTTAAATCATCGTACCACTGCTTAGTTAGCTAACGTGAAAATTCCAGACATATCGGTGCGAGCGGCCAGATGAAAGTGGATGTGAGCGAGGAAAGTTCTAGAGAAAAAAGGGTACATGGACCAAGATAATAACCAAATGGCGATAATGGAAGTTTAGGAGATCAATTGGCCGGCCAGAGTGAACATGGCGAGACTTCTTCGTGTCCCTCTTCGGAGACCTATAGAAGAGCAGCTACAAACGACCCTTTTCTATGGAGAAGGAGCATGATACGACACATTGAAACAATGTGATTTCGTTTGAATAAATAAAACAAAATAAATAGATAAACAAATCTGGTTGTCCTAATTCCGTTGAAGACATTAAATATAAAATACAAGCCGATATTTGATTTTTTTCACACGAATCTTCTCGAAAAATAAACGGATAAATAAATTTATCCTTACCATATGTAAGCCACAAGTTTCGTGTGTCTGTTTAAATGCCACGAAATTCGGTATCACTTATGGCAGCACCTCAAGATATGGGTCAATCTTGAGATGGGTGGAGCCTAAAGCACGATCGACAGAGCACATATGAGCTTAGTAGAACCCACCCACAGGAGACAGGACATGCACTGGAGTGGGTGGTACTCAAGCCAGAACTACAATTGGTGGCTCTTGGAAAGCCCAGACGCTAGGAAAAAATGAGCAAAGGATGGGAATGTTCTAACGAATCGAATGAAGGGGACCCACCCATTGTAGGCATAGCATGCTGAAGGTGGGCGGAGTTCTCCACAAAAATTCACAACTCGGTTCAATGAAGGCGTAGAGGCCAGAAAAAAGTTGGTTACCAAGACCTAATATGTACTGGGCATAATTTGTCAAAAAACATTATAGTTGGAAAGTTGGAAAGTTGGGCAAAGGCTAACTAGCAAATGTTATCAAATCTTCTGAGTAGGTGGATTTGCACAGGGGTGGGCGGGCCTGTTCAGAATTGTTTTAGAAAAAAGGTTGACAGAGGCTACCGTAGAAACGTTATCATACCTTTGAAGATAGCGCGCCTTTTTGCTTGTCTGGCGCGCGGAACAGACGCATTTAGAAACTTTCCACTTCCGCGGCTCACCGCTGAGCCGCGCTGTCCCACGATTGATTCCTTTCCTGGTATGAACAAATTTACTTTTTCAAGACTTTTTTACGACTCAGTTTGAAATAGGTGTGGTTTAAGTAATCATTAGTTTCCTACTTGATCCATTTTGAATCTATGCATATATGCCTTCAAAAGTCGAAATAGATCAGCCTGCAATAGACGATTAGGAGAGTGGTTTTGAAAGAATAATGGTCGAATTCGACGAAATGACCAGGCAGTTAAAGTGAAGGCGATTAGTCAAGTGGGGTGCCGATAATAGTCAATTTGAAGGCAACAGATTTTACAAGATTAGTAGTTCCCTAAAACCACTCAATGCGAACTATGAGAAAATGTAGACCTGAAAAAGAAATTCGTACCGATGAGCCATGAGTACATTTCCGTGGTAATATAGTTTTCAACCAATACATCATTTCTAAGAGGCGGAAGTATGGAATGAAACTTTTCGCAACGCTGTGAAGGTGTTACACATTGAGAAATGAAATTCACTTTGATAAGCAGTTCACAAGGGAGGATTTAGTCGCTGTATCTGCTGTGCTCATGGAACTAAGGGAAGGACTTTTGGATCAAAGAATACATCTCTGTACTGATAACTGGTGCTCGAGCGTACTTTGGGCTAATGGCTTATTGAAACGTAGCACTCATTTCTGAGGGCCCGAAAAAAATCCAGAAAGGACTACTGATAAAAGTTGATACTAGAAGCAGCGCAAGTTCTCGAAAAAGTTGTTACAAACAACTTTCTCGAGACTATGGCCATGTTCACGCTTCCAGAAATACAAAGCGGGTCAATACAAGGGGCAGTATACGAAAAAGTCATTTTGGCAGTGATCGATACCGAAAAATGCTCAAAAACTGTGATTTGTAGGGAGAGGATTGAACTTATTAGTAATTTTCAGTAAGTAGTAATGTTTTTCCCAGCTTACTCTGTGTATAGTATTATTTGGAGATTGCAAACCCATTACAAACAAAAAACTCCAAGGGAAACAAATAATCAAGAAAAGCAGCCAATGAGGAGGATGCGGCTATCTTTAAGCCGCGCTGTCCCACCGACCGAAAAAGCGTGGCTCATTATTGAGCCGTTGTCAAGAGGTTAAATTTCCAGAGTGAGCGGAGGTTGCTCTGAGGTAGGCGGGGTTACGATCAAAAATCCATGAGTACCTACATCAAGTTTTTGTTCAAAGATGTTCCAGAACGCGAAAAAAGGTGGTCAGAGGTCATTGAAGAAATGTCGCCCGATTCCTAAAAAGGGTGGGGTTTGAAATGAGACGGGCGGGGCTTAACAAAATTCATAACTCCATTCAAAAAAAATCTACAAATTGAAAAAAGTGGTCAGAGGTTGTAGAAGGAATTTGTTCGAACTTTTAGAGCGAAATGGGCTTGCAGCGCAGTTGGTCTGGCTAAAGACGAAAATGGTTGACTGCACAGAACAGTTCTAAAGCACAGGAAAAGTGGTCAGACGCTATTGAAAAAATGTTTCAAATATCTCCTTTGAGTTAAGTTTGCGTCACCAGTTGATGGGGTTTGCGCCACGGTAGGCGGAGCTGAAGTTGATAATTCAAGGCTCCGTTTTTAATTGTTTTAGAACATTAAAAAAGTGGTTATAGTTTGTAGAAGTTTCTGAACGGTATCCAAGGGTTATTATACAGAAACCACAAATGTCTGTTGGTCTTTATCTATTTATCAGTTTATCACCACCTTATATGGTGAGGTCCTGAAATAGAAGTGGAACAGACTAGCAAGGTGGGGAATGAGTGGAGCTGCTTGAGAACACATGATCTGGGCTAGGTTCCACCAACCGAGAGATCGCGTTAGATAAGAGGGTTTCCAACGATAGCACCTGATTAGAGTTCCCGTGCACCTAAAGTGTTCAATTTCTGTAGAAGTACAAGGGGCAGGATGGGAACCTTGAGAGTAGATGACAGGACCAGAGTCCGCCCGTTCGGGATGAGGCATGCACGAAGAACTCTACTACAGAGAAGCGCATTCATATTTGGAAGGGATGCAAGGGTTAAGAAAAGAAGCTGATGATAGGCGACAGGATAAGTCGCCATCCATCAGAGGCGAGGCTTACAAAAATTGCTCTTCGAAGCTAGGGTGTTCGAATTAAGAAGGGATAAAGGTGGCAGGACTGGACTACGGGAAGGGCGTGGAATGCGAAGCTGGTGGTTCTGTTTCCTAGGGGTTTATTTACCATTAATTTACATCTTCGCTCCTTGAGGCATGGAGAATCACGTGGAGTCGGATTACGATGTGAGGATTTTGGCTGATATACATATTAGAGTGGTGTCCCGGAACTCACCTGTGTCACCTGTCGTCCCGTTGATCATCGATTTCCTCAAGCAGGTGCTAGTAACCTTTCCATTCGTCACTCTCTGCTTCGCACTCTTCGCTTCTCTGCATAGCTTCGTAAGTTCGGACGTTTGTTGATGATCGAAAGTCTTCGAAAAGAATCGTCTCTTGGTTTCTTGTAAACTCTCTGCTTTCCTAGCGCTATCGTGAAGATGTTTGGCGAGCCGGTTGTATTCTTCGTCGATGTTGTCGATGAAAGAATTTTCTCATCTACTCGCAAGGGAAGCGAAGTGGTCCCAATTGATAGAGGTTTTGGGGCTTTGTTTCCTAAACATCATAGCTCTCTTTCCATGCACTGAGAAGCAAGATCTATCGCGGAGGAGACGATGGTCCGATCCCGTGTAGAATTTCGGAACAACAGCGGCGTCAGTCAGACAAAATCTTTGATTGAAGATAATGTGGTCTATTTCATTATGAACTGTCCACCAGGTGACTTCCATATCCATCGCAAATGAGAGAGCTTCTGGATTTGCGAGCTACCATGGATGGTGTGGGTCGACATGACAAACTCGGACAGCCTTCCACCCTGCTCATTCCATTCCATTCCGTGAGTCCCGATGTGGAGCCCTTCAGCCGATCTTCTAGGGCCAATCTTGGCGTTGAACTCACTGACGATGACCTTGAAGAAAGTGTGGTCTTCTCTCTCCCGATCCATATAAAACGCTTCCAACTCCTCTTCTTCGTAGCGTGGTGTTGATGCGTAGGCAAAGAAGATGGTTCGAGCCGGGGTTGAGTTACATCTTCTTAATCGCAAACGTCCAATTCGTTTGTTTGTTGTTTCGTACGAATCGATGTATATGGTCAAGTGCGTATTGACGAGAACACCTACGCCGCCGACGCCTCTGCTGTCGCATGTTCCAAGGCACAGTTCCTCTCCAGCCTCAAATACAGCGTGCAGCGGGAGATGCCTACTCGTCTCGGTCAGTCCGATGACGACATACTTGATCCTCCTAGCTAGCTTCTTCAGGTCTTCTGTACACCTTCCGATGCAAGCATCCGATACAGATCGACATCTTAGCCCTTTTCCTTTTTGGCAGCCTGTTTTGGCCGTGAGATTTTCGCAGCCTCTCCCAAGCGGTCCAACCCAACGCTGTCGTTATAAGCACGACGTCGTCTGCAAAGCGGAGGTGATTCAAACAGCGGCCGTCGACCCGCTGTTGGGGGCTCTCAGGTTCAGGGGAATGAGGCCCAATTGTTCTTGGCGTGTAGATACCCGTCGTGCAGCTTGCCAGGCTCTAACGTGGGGGTAAGGTTGACTTCAGGGGCTTGCCAGGCTATCCCGAAGTTGGAGTGGAAAAGGAGCTTTGTCCTTGAGGCGGCCTCGAATCGCCTCCCAGATACTTCCTAGTCACTCGAATGCAAATTTTTGGCTGAGTCGATGGAGAGAATATCATCTGCACCCACAGACTCTCCACACACGTATGCGTGGATACGTCTGCGAGAAACAGATAGTACATATATCGACCCAGCACAGCAGAATCAAGGAGTACATCCCCTGAATCCACCTGCATCTCTGGGCAAGTACCAGTGACCTTTAGTCGCGATTAATTCTTCTATCCTCCGCCTGGGGATGCCCTACATAGCCTCGTCACTAATCGACTGGGGATCTCTCAGTGAGAGGGAACTCACAGTGAAGGAAATCCATAGGTCCCGAAATTATGGGCGCCAAAATTCAGAAATTCCTAAGGTAAAAATAATATTTAAATTCACATTACCTGCTATTAATTAGCTGTATAAGAAAGCTTCCTTGCAATATGCATGGTTATTGATGTTGAATATCCTTTAGATGGAAGGGGCTCATTCAATGCCACTTGCAATCATTGACATGCGAGAGGCGGAAGAGCATTATAGAATTCCTCGTGATTCTTATAATATCCGCAGAGAAAGCTATTAAAAACCAGAAGAGAAAGTCCGCTCTAAGACAAGCTGAGAAAGAGTAGAAAGGCCAACGGTCCCAAAGATAGGGCTATTAAAATGGTCCGATTACGAGTCGACGTGAATCTGAGTGACCCCATCAAAAAGACAGCAAAACAGCAGGAATTACCGAAGTTTTCGGTGGGGTGGATTGTCATGCGAATACTTCATTGCCGTTCCTATCGTGTTTAGACGTGTCGCTTCAATTCCGATCTCAACAGACACGGCAGGGCCAAAAAATGCAGAAAGTCGCAGACTCACTTGAGTGAAGACACGCAACCCTTCATCGTTTTCTCTGACCGGGAAATTTTTACTATAAAACCATCCCTCAACAACCAAAACGTTGTTCGTTCTTGAAAGAAACATTTCACGTGCAATCACCCTCGAAAAGGTTGCTATAAGAACAGAAAATGATGTTTTCCGAGGGAGTCACTGGTGACAAGGGTAAGACGCTCGTCGTTTTTTCGGCGCAGGTGTAAAAATTAAACAAGACCAGTACTTACACAGCGTACTGATAGAAGTAATAAAGCATTGATCCAACTACGCCTTCTAAAACATTTCGTAGCCCTTCCAGCAGGACGCTACTCCAGCCCACAGAGCCAAGCTCGCCCGCGAGTGGTGCCGACGAGAGCTGCCACACTTCATTGGTGAAGAGGAATGGCCATCCTCTTTCCCAGGACATGACTCACTTGACTTCCCAGTATGGTCCCTGATTAGGATCCCTGGTTCTGCTAAGTTTGCAGTCTTAGTTTGGTGTCCTGGAGAGTGAAGCTTAAGAACGGTTGGGAAGAAATGGAGGAGGATCCTGCGTGCAACATGCGAACAGGTCGAGAGCAAATTTTGTGCATCTATCCTCCCTCATGGGGGTTATTTTGAAATGTGATCGTAGCGTGTTGTAGAAAATGGTGTTAACTAACGCGCATAGGAAGTCTCCAAAGAAGTGGAGGAGATGTGCAGGGAATATACATAGTCGTAAGTATAGCAATCGATAATCGCAATTAGTTTTGACCAGTTTCGACTAGTATTACTTGATATAGGGCTGCCACATATACTCTTTTTTAGGAGGAAGGGAATGATTGATGATAAACCTGTACATGTGTCGGTGTGCGTGTATGGTTGTGTTTCGGTGTATATCCTACTGAAAACTCTCGTCCCCTGTTCTAGTGGACTTAAAGCATTCCAATTCGGTAGCAGTACAGGCGGCAGTATGGAAACACTGTTGGTGGGTGGCATGATTGGACTCTTCTAGTGAGGCGAGACGTTTGCTAAAATTGTTAAGTTGGACCTAGATTGTTCAGATTTGATAGGGTCAGAGGCGACAGCACGGGAATGATGTAGAGGGTGCGACTAGCCTCCACCCACAGGAGTGGAGCATGCCCGAAAATTGTCAACTTGGGACAAGGGCAACCAAGTTCGATTGGGATACAGGCGGCAGTACGGGAATGCTGATAGCAGGTGAGGAGATGAAAGAAGAGGGAACGTTTTTTTCAGATTTAGAGGGCACAGCGCCCTGACCTGACAACACACTAAAATATTAAAGGTTCACTCAACAGAAAAGAGTTTCGAGAAGTGCTGAAGCTTTGACACGGACCTATTAGAAGGCTATTTACTTTTTTTCCGCTGTCGAGATTAAAAAGAATCCTTCAATTAACGACCAGGATCAATGCGTCGTCAGAAGACGTGACAAGTGTGAATGATTGCTTAAAAAGATCATTTATTCCAGGGATTGTCAAAAATTTGATAAAGGTCCTGCTAGAAGCACACCATACAAAAATTCTCGCCTCTGCAAGGAGCAATCCCAAATCGTACGTCTCAACAGCTATAGCACTACCCCTATGCCACGATGACGCCGAGCAAAGTCAACAATGCATTTCAACGGAGATTCTCTTCAGTCAGCAGTTTCGACTACGATGTTCGTAGAAAAATCCCAAAATCCAGTCTCGATTAATCCACGTCTCGTGTTCCACGAGAATCAAAAAGGACTTACGGGTCAAGCTGAATGTGATCGATACTAATGCAAAAAGGTAGTCATTTTCACTTAGCTCTACTGAATTTTTACGTTCTTTTTCTAAACTAATGGACACCTCGAAGGCACAGTTCACAATAATTTTGGGTAATCCAGATTATGATGAAAAATGGAAGACAAGATCGAAAGTAGTGCGACTGAGGTGAAGAAACTGCGTGCATCGGTGTTCCCGAAGTGAAAAAAGCTTTGAAAAACCGTTAAAAAGGGCGCTGGACGAGAATGAAACCAGAAAAATGAAGGAGAGTGGGGCGTTCGGACGAGCTACACAATGTGCCTCACTGCGGGCGTGTGGGTCCTGGTGCGAATAACAGACGATGGTAAGCAAAAATTCATTCACTTATAAGCATAAATAAGCAAAAAAACCCTGGTAACAGCAAAAGTAGCTCAACTTTTTCAGCCTCTGGGAGTAGGAAATTAAATAAGGGGTCGCGGCAGCAAAAAGAATTACAGAGGGAAAAGAATGGAGAAAAACATCGCATTACAACTCGGCGACCAGCTGATTGTGTGTGGGTCCTAAAGCGAATAATAGCAATCTGTATTGTCTCGACACTCGTCTAACGTGACACCGATCAAGGGGCGGGAAAGCGAACTACGGCAGCAACGGGGCTTCCACTATGCCCTAAGCGCCGAGATTGTGGGAGCGAGAGGGTCCCTCCTAACAGCTATGGGGGACGCTGAGTATTCATAAAGAAAGAACTCAGTAACCTTTCTTATCGTGAACCGTGCCTTTAATCAGACAGAATGAACCAGTCCTAACAACAATATGGCGTCCTTGTATGCAGCATGTTTTTTCTTCATGCACGCGTAATAGTTTAATACACGTGGATAAATTAAAAGTAGGCATTTGCACTACCTGGTGAAAACGCTTTTACGTGCAGGAGGATGATTAATAGGTATCCAGACTTCGTTATGGTCAAGGCTAACGCATCGATTTCTGCAGAGACTGCGAGAGCCGACAATGTAGAGTAAATAAGAATACAAAAAGGTCCCGGATGAATAGAACGTGCTTTACAGCTGACGCGGGTTATAGTACAGATAACGATTTGTAGATCACTCCTTACGTTAGCTTCAAAACAAGCACGAACAACGGAAAGTGATATTGCAGCCATCAGTAATCACAGCATGAGCATGCGCGGCGGCTGAGTGCTTTTGTCTTACCCTACTGAGCAAGTAGGGTACTTGAGTTCATGTTCAACAGCCTCCGACTTAATGGAGTGAAGTGGTATGCTGTTTCAGAATGAGGGAATCCTCAAACCTTCTTGATCTTGGTTATTGTGACGGCAGCAGAGCCTTGTCAGCCCTATGCAATGTGTTTCTGTGGAAATTTTTCCGCATAATTCGAAGTTTATAAAAAGTCGTAATCAGTAGTTAGCTAGTTTGTGTTGAAGTGTGAGCAAGGTATGCAATGAATAATCGGCCTTTCAAAAGAAAAACGAATGTGGGATGGTCGCATAAAAAGTTGGAGTGTGTATGACAATAATTAAGGGTGCGACTAGGCAACAAATAAGGGTGCGATTACAACGAAAGATTACACATCAACAAGACGTTCGCATGCGCATTATATTCCTGCTTTTGCAGATGTGTGGTACGGAAAAAATGTATCGATATTCACGATACTATTTCCTGTGTGAGTCACCAGTTTGCCATTATGTTCAACGTGCGATGATAATCAAAGAAAACAGGAGCAGTTCGAATAACAATCGAAAGTAACGACACGTATAGCGCTGTGCAACCGAGGCGTTTAGTTGATTATTTTTAGGAGCATGGGCATATTATAACCTCAGTACCGTGGTCGTGATCTCATTATTCCGACGGATCGAAGCGATTAACTACAATAGTTCACATAAGATGGAATGAAAGGTGGTCGTCACATTGCCTCTAGAAGGTACCAATGGAGTGGCCCCACAGTAACTCAACAAATTAACCTGCGACTTACGTAGATACCAGTATAGAGTTGGAATTCCGTAAAGAGAGGAAGGAGAGCAGAGATCGCCCAAACAACAACCGAGTAACATTGAGTTCAGTGAAATACCGCTTTTGTCTCAAGAATTAATAGGAAACTTATTTGATCAGCGTAGCTTACCAGGTGAGCAGGCGCTAGATACCCGAATCTTGACTTCAGCCTTTTCAGCAAAGGACGGAAATGACAAAAGCATCAGAATAACCGCAAGGAACCACATGATGTGACGCGATTGGCGATCGCGCAACTCAGCCGCCCACTAGAAATGTGTTATTTCTTTGGCCCTTCAACATGTGACGCACTCTCTCGCATCATAGCGTAGACTATTTTATCATCCTTAGTGATGCAACCAAATAGAAAAAAAATTGAAATTCAGAACATTCACGGATTCTCTATTAAACATTTGATCCTGGTTGATAGTAGCACACCGACAAAGCCGAGGTGAGAGGCCATTGATCAATTGTTGTATGGCTTATATTCTGTCCATAATTGTCGTTATTTTTCATCTCAACTTTTCGTTGCACCTTCGCACTCATTTTAACAAACTAAAGCACGTAACATGTTTCGAAGCATTTATAATAGCTCCGCAGTCCACAACCGATACCCACTAG